CGAGGTTGCGTGGTCATTTGTTAGCAACCAAAAAAAAAAAGGAAATCAAATATAAAATTTGCCAAAAATATAAACTAAATAAAAAGCGTCGACGATAAATGCTGAGCATTGAGTTTTTATTCTATAGTTTCCCTCCCACCCACTCAGCGGAAGATATGCTCTTGAGCGTACAAATTTGAGAATATGTACAAATATTAAGGTGTCTGCGATTTATGTGTTTTAAGTATATAATATATTCGATTTTTTATATATTTATAATATACCAAGTATATGTATATAAGACAATCTTCAGCCAGGTAGTTTTGAAAAATAAAGTTAACAAAATTATTTTGCTTCGAATCGGATGCCATGGTATCGAAACAAATTAAAGAAAGAAAGAAAAATACAAAAATAAAGTTAATTTTAAAATGGCTGCTCGCAATGATGTTAACAGTACACTTCATTTTTAACGATAATACATAATTAACGATTTAACATTATATGTTAAGCATTTGGCTTTATCTGTTAACGATTAAACATTATCTGTTAAATATTAACATTGCCTGTTAACGATTTAAGATTATCTGTTAATGATCTAACATTATCTGTTAACGATTAAACATTACCTGTTAACGTTTATTTCATCTGTTAACAGTTTAATGTTATTTGTTAGCGATATAACATTTTCTGTTAACGATTAAATTTTATCTCTTAGGGACTTAACATTATCTGTTAACGTTTAACTTCATCTGCTAATAATTCAACATTATCTATCAACAATTTAAAATTATGTCTTAACTAAAAACAATTTTTGTTAAATTTAGCATTATATATTAACGATATAACATTTTCTGTTAAGGATTAAACATTATCTGTTAAATATTAACATTGCCTGTTAACGATTTCTGTTAACGATTAAACATTATCTGTTAAATATTAACATTGCCTGTTAACGATTTAACATTATCTGTTATTGATCTAACATTATCTGTTAACGATATAACATTTTCTGTTATTGATTAAACATTAGCGAGAGCATTTCGTTTCGCGTAGAAATGAAAAAAAAAAATTATTTTGATAACTAATTATGCACTACCTAATGCGAAAGTATGTAAATGCAGTATGTGAAAGTTATAGTATATCGCGCATACGCCCCGTCAGCAGCGTTTGGCATCGCTTATTGCCGCTACACGTTGGCAGCACGTTTGTTTACATTTGCCTGAACGTGCCGGCAGTCGGTCGGTCGGTCAGTGAGCTCCTTGGGTGTGCATAAAATGCAGACTCCATAAATATTCACATATCTTGACGCATGCACGCACACACGCTTTCTGACTAAAAATACCTACATATTCACATACAAACATACAAATGTAAGTCTAAGTTATCGAATAAAACATACACATTTGTACAAAATAGAAAATTTTCTTATACCAATCCAAATACTCAACTACGGCAAGTGGATCGTACAGTACAGTCAACAGCGCTGCATTGCTACTCACAGCGCAAAAAAAAAAGAAACTCAATAATATCGACTCTGCGACCACCGAGCGTGAGCTATTTTGGCTAATACTTATGCCATTTTCCCAGCCGTTCTCTATAATATGCTGCTTAGCTGCGTCGGCAACGGGTGTCCGTGCTGAAAAGAGGCCGGCAGCCGAAAAACTCACACTCGCCACACACTTAGCGAATCTGCGAATTTTCAGTCTTATTTCGATTTTCTCTCAGGCTCGGCGGCGTCGCGGCATTTCGGGGAATTTAATCAAAAATATTCGCAAAATTTTTGTAAGCAATACAAAAATCTGCAAACGCATCTGATATATATTCTGTTTTGTTTTGTAGCGAAAAGTATTAGAATTTAAATCGATCAAATCAAACATAGGGAAACGTAGTTGGAGTGTTTTCAAAGTAATTCTTAAGAAAGTGTAGTGAAGCAAATTGTCTTAGTGGCGTGCAAAACGAAAGGAAAATAAAAGATATCCAAAAGTGATTTTTTGTTTTTTTAAATCTAAAAACGTTATCTTAGCTAGCAAAACGTGTTGTGCAAATATTTCCTTAAAAGCATCGCCAAAATTCCCTTGAAAACAATATCGCGAACCGTCCGTGCCTGCGATCGGAAAATCGTTTTGGGTCAGTCCAAATTGTGTGGCAAAAAGTCAAAAAAAGTAAAAAAAAAAAAACAACTTGCATAGATTTAAGTATTAGAAAAGCTCAGAAATTTATTTCGATTATTTAAATTGAGCAACGAAACTGTATGTTAAGCTTGAAAAGTGAATTTCTTTATGTAAAACTTATTTCTCAAAAGAAAAATTATTCTTTATAACATAACGACAACACTTTTTTGTTGTGGACGAAAAAGTAGAAGTGAAAGCGATTGCAGTTGAAGCGTGGCAAAAGAAGATTTTTTTGAGGTGATTATTTTGAAATATAATTTAAGAAGACATAAATTAAGAAAATTCAAATCAAATCAACACTCATGTAACATAAAAGTTATTTTGCAAAAATTGTCATACTAACTTTTTAGTTTCGAAATTTTGTTTTCGGTAAAGCATGCATTGGTTGATATTAAATTAATATTATTTATGTTACTATGTTTATATTGGTAGTTTTTTTTAAAAAGCACACAACGCAAAATCACTTTGGTAAAGTCCAAATTTCAAATTTCATTACATCAAATTTTAGACAAAAAAGTCATAAGATTCTTCTGAAAAAGTTGAAATTTCAGAACTTTTAAATGTGCCTATGACTTTTTTCAAAATAATAAACCATGGATTTTAGGAAGGGGCCGTGAAGTGCCTGCCTATGAATTATTATTTGCAATTTTTATTTCCTTTTAATGGTGGCATAAAATTTGTATTTCAACATTTTCCATTACATATATTGTACATTATTTACACAAAATCAATTTGACTTATTTACTCTTTACGCTGAGCATACAGAGCATACCGAACACACTTAAAAAACACATATAAAATGAATTTCAGTTTTCTGCCCATTGAAAGTTTGGTATAAGAAGAAATACTTAAATTAAAATCAATAATAAAAATTTAATTTCACTTTTTACTCGAATTCTTGTAAGAAATGATTATAATTGCTTTTATATGAGTTTTTCCAAAATGATTTTTTTTTTTTGATTAGTGCAAACTCAATAATTTTGCGGCTTCGAAAATAAACTTAAAAAAAAATGCATTTAAAATCTTCTTTTTTTTTAATAAAAACCCTTTCTTATTATAAAGTGTACACGGGTACCATAATTCCATGGAAAAATTTATATGGAATTCAAAAGAATTATTAAGAATGCTAAAGTATTTATGTATTTCTTCATAAATTGAGGAGAAAATATGCATTAATTCTGGCGCTTTCCTGCATTCCCTAATTGTTTAATTAAATTAACATGCTCAATCGATACGCTTTGTAATTTCTGCAAAACAATTTTCGATTTTCAAAAATTGATATAGTAAATAATTAGTGAATTTGCTAAAAATATCAACGAGTTTCCATTCCACATGTGCCTGTTATGTGCGTACGGAAATACATATATTAGACTCGTATTTGCTTATGTAAATTCTCATTTCTGGTATTTTGTATTTCAGTCGTAGCCGGACACACCCAATACTAAAAATAATTTAAATAAATATTTAGCGTTAATTAAACATATTGAATTCTTATAGGAAAAAACGACAATTGAATAAAATAAATACAAATGTATATTTGTTTGTTTGGATGCCTTATAAAACTGGCATCGCCATAAGCAATATTAGAAGTTAGGAAAATTTATATGAGTAAAACGTTGATCCAATTTGTTTGTTTGCAACATTACTTAAATGTGATTAGTAAAACTTTCTGGCATATTTTTTCCGGTTACTCAATGTGCTGCAAAATATTTTTTTCTATTGCAATTTTTGTCCCGCCTTTTGGATTATATCCTACGATTTTTTCGAAAATTGAATACAAAAAAATCTAAATTTCTTTCACTAGAATGTTAAAAATAAATAAATTAATTAAATTATAAATTAAACAAAAAATTTCAAATCCACTCGGTTGAAACACTAAAAATGAAATAAATTTTATTTCGTGCTTATACCAAGCGAAGTACTGTCGTTAATGTAAAAACGTTAACACATAGATTTAAATCGTTAACAGATAATGTTTAAAAGGCAACACATAATGCTATGTTAAAATTCGGCTGTTAAATATTTTTTTTATGTAATTCTTTTTTTACTATATATTTTAACCTTGGCATTATATGCGAACACTATGCCATTCAAATGACCATCTCACGCATTTTTGCAAACTTCGATCCATTGGAGGTGATTTTCGACAAGTATTTTTCACTGATTGGGTGGTATCTCAGCCATAACTTGACGTATGTTGATATTCAAATGCTACAGTGTAAAAGGTTTATCCACATAAACACAGTATTCAGCGTAGTCCCACAAAAAAAGGCCAACAGTGTCAAATCGCACGATCTCGGTGGCCATCGCCTATATAAGAGACTATGCGGCCGAGAAGTTTCTCTCACAATAAAACCATATTGGGCTCGTATAGTGTGGCAAAAAAGTGTCCCAGATAGTGATAATGTCAAAATACAGTCCTATGTGTCTGAAACCACGAAATGAATAACCCTATATATGACACTAAAGGGCCAATTGGTTGAGTCATGCAAAAACTGCTTTATTTATTTATAAACATGTGTGTTACGCGTAAAATAAAATATCACATGCAGACTAATAGTTTAAGCCCTCGAGGCTTACCGTTAAAGATTTATGGCATCTAAATGTCGAATGAATTTAAGAAAAATATAAATTCACGACATAAATTTTTGAGAAAATAACAATAAGAAAATCTTAAATCAGAACTTAAAAAATAGTACCAACAATAAATACATATACAAAAGCCCGCTAATGTCATATCGAAAGTAAAAGAATTTTTAAAAATATGTCTGATTATTATAGAAAATATTTAAATGATTTTTAGTGCAAACTTTCTTGCTTTATTTAAATTTAAAAAAAAAATACATTCAACTTTTTTCTAACAAATAGCACATTTACAAACATATTACAAAGTTCTTTGGCCAAAGTAGGTTATACAGCAATGTGAGAGATTTGATCATTTACGGCAATCGTTTTTTCTGGCTTTTCATTTTTCTCTGCCATTTTGATTCAATGATGTTGCTTGACTTCGTAGTAACTCTCAGCGTGTCCATGGCCATGGTCATAACCATAATCGCCATAATGATTGCCCTCATGGTGATACACTTGAGGATGGTGAGCATGACCGATTTTCTTGACCACAGCATTGAATCCATTGTGGCCATCGGCGCTGTACTCCACCACACGGGTTGTGCCATCAGCTTCCGCCAGTGTGTAGCCACCTAGTAGAGAGTAGAGAGATCTAGCGTGTAGTTAAAGGATAAAGTTAGATAATTTTATGAAATCACCTTTGACATGATCACCATCACGATGCTCCCATTGGCTCTTGTGATCACCAGTGTGTGTGTCCTTTACACCGTAATCAAAAGCGTATTTTGGATAGTGATGTGGCTCGTGATGTTGGTGGTGGTCTTCGGCATGGTGTCCATGTTCTGTTTCAGTGTGTTGATCAAATGAGGCATAGCTCGACGCGTGTCCATATGGCTGAGGGCTGGCATTGGCGATAGAGAGAAGCGCAACAACAGCACCGATAGCGACGATGGTCGAGTAGATTTTCATTTTAATTTAATTCAGATGAGAAGATTAAAGGAAACAAGAACTAATTTTTTGCTTCAACGTTCAGTTGCTGGGTTTGAGTGCTGGACTGATATCAAATAGCTGACTTAAGCCGGTATTTATACCACACAACGCCTTACAACCGCAGTCACTTGTCTGTATTTTATTGATACTTTGTACACTAATTCTGAAGGTTCCAGTCGCAAATTGTTTTACCACGGCAACCAAGAAATTATTTTAAAATACGGCAACTAGGAAATTATAATATAATAAAACTAAACTTGGTTTCACTTTCAAAAATTTTGTATAAATCATTATTAGCTGATATGTGAAGCATAAAAAAATCTTAATTATATATACTAGCACAGTGGGACACATATGTTGAATGCTAAATTATAGTATAAACGGAAATAAGTACAATAAACAGAACGCACAAGCACTGAACTAATATAACAATAATTTGTTGTTGGCCACTGTCACAAGTTGGCTTGGTCAGTCCAAATATTCGGCATTAATGACCCGTATATGTGATTGGGTGTCTCTGGAATTCGGCAATCGGCCTTGCAGCGAATAGGTGATTGTTTTACTTCAGCAATCGGGCAGTGATTTTATTGTTGTAAATGGGCTTGCACCCTTATAACTTTGAAACCTTTATTGTTTGGAGCATTGCTTTCAAATTGCATTTAGCAAAAGATAATTTAGAAAAAGTATTTGATATAAATAGTTACCGCAGGTAATTGGTTGGTGTCAGTTCGATATTGGCTTCTGCAAGAGTCACTAAAGCGGAAAATTTACAGAAAATTTTTTAAACTTTTAGTTTTTTTTAGCTACATAAATATTCAAATTATTTCGTGTATAACTAGCAGTACTGCCATAGAGAGATCCCTGCTTTTGATGGCGACACCCGCAAAAGCTTTAAGGATCTCGATTTGAGCGCATGCACTTGGAATGTGTGGTGTCTTAATGGGATAGATGTCGCTAGTGCAGTTGGTTCATAACCTCTTTAAAGTAAAAGCTGACATCAGCGCCGTCCAGGAAGTACCAAGGACAGGACAAGGACGGAAGAAGTGTAAATGTGGGGTCGGATTTATGAAGAGTGACTCCGTCGCTGAGTTCTGGCATTCACTCCGGCGGATAAACCTCTCGCAACAAACCGCAGCAAAGCGAATTTTTTTAAGACAGCGCTGATTTGCACTGACGCTCCTACGAAGGAGAAGGACGACGTAACCAAGAATGCCTTTTATGAGCGCTGCCCCTGCCACGATACCAAAATTGAGCTTAGCGATTTTAATGCCAGGATGAACATAGAAGGTATCTTCGGCATATCGATCGGGAAATTTAGCCCTCACTGTGAAACATACCCGAATGCGTTGAGGCAGATTGACTTCACCAGAGTCCGAAATATGGTGGTCTATAGTACTAGATTTCAGCACAAGAAAATCCATCAGGCTGATTGCCTGTATCCAGATCGAAAAGCTCACAATAAGTTTGATACCTTTGTGATAGACTGACAACGGCATGTCTCCAGTGTTTTACATATGCGTACAACGTTTCAGACTAGGTGATTATACAATTTCTTCAATTTGATACCGGGCAAAATAATTAGCGCGGCCGAGCTCCATTAACCAGGTACTACCCTACCCAGAATGTACAACTGCAGGCGGCGTTTACTGATGAATTGCTGAAGAAGCAATGCGAATGGCAGTGAACAAAATCCAACGCAGTTGCTCCTATGGATTGCCCACCAAACCATCGAAAACTAAAGTCCTCTCTATACGAACCAAAACCAAGTCGCTCATCATTCCTCTCCTACTATATGATGTAGAGACCTGGGGGATGTTGACGTTCGATGAGGCGGCTCTAGGAGTATGCAAAAGAAAAGTTTTCCGAACGATTTGTGGACCTTGCGGCATTTACCGATGCGATGGCATTGAGAGACAACAGCTAAGCTGGCTAGGTCGTGTCGTCCGAATGAATGAAAGCGATGCTGTAGCCGGCAGTGGGAGTAGAGGAACTGGTAGACCACCACTCTGTTGAGAAAATAAGTTGAAGAGCGACCTCGTTTCACTTGGCAATTACAACTTGCGCCAAACAGCTAAGAGAAGGCACGAACCAATGCTGTTGTTAATTCAGCTATTACCGTGTACGTGCTGTCTACTGAATGAAAAAGAGAAGAAGATATGTAAGAAAATAAAATTGTGATTCTAAGACAAACAAGCGCCATTATTTTCAACCAAAAAATAACAAAATAAAATTTTTATCAAATATTTGAAATTGTGATTTTCACATCTTTTTTTTATGTTAACAGACTAAATATCTTTTCATATAACTAACTTGGAAAAATCCTCCACATTTTTTATATATATTTTTTGTACATAAATACATTTGTCTATAGATCTTTAGAGCTTAGTATATGAAAATCGGTGTGACATCATTTCGCTACTTAAATTGTCTGCTAAATTTTACTGGCTAAAAATACAAATCCATGGCAGAAAAAAATAAAAAGAATTTATATTCAACGTAGAGGGTGTGTGTGTCTGTGTGTGGCCAATCATCCCGCCGTGAAAGGCTAAAGTCAGCTGAGTTAGCCAGACAAACTATGTTCAAGGCATATGGATATTTAAAAAGATTTCAAAACATATTTTTAAATTTATTCTACACATGTACGTATGTATTAATATTTTAGTGGTGATATTAATATACAGAATTAAGTATTTATATATAAAATATCTTACTTAAAAAGGTTTTCATTGATTGCTAAAAAATTGTGATAAAAATCCCCATAGTAAAGATTTCTCTTGATTTCATTAAGGACTTAATAAATGCTCATATACAGGGTTACTAACTTTGAGTTTCGAAAATAAATAAAATAAAAGGCATTTAAATTAGTTTTCTTCATGAAACTCCCCTTTTATTGTAAAGATTGATCCTTGGACAAATTCGATTCGTTTGGGATAATTTTAGACCAGTTTTTGGCACAACTTAGGCAATAACTTTGCTATAAATTGACGAATGTTGGTTTTCAAATCCTCAATATTTAAAGCTTTATCCTTATAAATGCGCTCTTTCGCATAGACTCACCCAAAAAAAAAAAAGTCCAACGGTGTCAAATCGCACGATCTCGTTGGCCGTTTGACCTTATAAAGCTGAAATGTTACGGAGCCGGGAAATTTCTCTCGCAATAAAGCCATATTCGCTCGTGTTGTGTCACATCTGGCACCTACTTGTTGAAGCCACATATTGTCCACGTCGTGTTCTTCAATTGCAGGTCCAAAATTCTCCAAATTGACAGTGACAGTTTCGCTCATGCCGTTTTGGAAGAAATGAGGTCCAATCACACTTCCAGATCAATGAGCGCACCATACAATATCTATCAATTTTTTTTTTGTTTTTAGTTTTTTTTTTCTCTTCATTTATTTGAGGATTCTCGGGGCCCCAAATGCGACAATTTTGCTTATTTATGTGAAATATATGCCTTGTCGCAGAAGAAAGTTTTGCCTTAAACAAATCGAAAAAGAACTCAAAAATTTACATATGAAATTCCACATACCACAGACGCACTCAAACTTAGCAGTAATTCGGCTGAGTGAACAACTAAAAATGGCACAGCCACACCATTAGCAGTCCTCCACCGTAAAATATCGATTATGAAATGCACATTTAGATACGTTGATGGATGGAATTTAAAATGGTTAATCGTTTGTTGTTGTGCACCAAAAGAGGAAGAAAATGAGTGAATAAAAACACGGGAAAATGTTTTCAGAATTTTTTTTTTTTTGATAATTGCCATAGCAACGAGAGACAGAGAGATTTTATTTTCATTTTATCTTCCTTCATTTATTAATTGTTTTGCTTGCCGCTCATGCTTGAAAATGTTATAAGTGCAATGTCATCTGTCATAAAGCGTTCAAAAGCGCGACGCCAACCAAGTGTATATACGAACAAACATACATACATATATACATACATACAAACATACATAGATACATACATACAACATAGTAAATATGGACATTATTGTCTGTTGCACAGAGCAGATCAAGTCGGCTGGTGACACGGATGCGGGGGCATTGAGCTGCGGCGCCACATCAATCAACAAGATAATTAAATATGTGCATACAAATGTATTAAATGTGGGAAAGAAATATGTATGTACATATATATTGTATGTAATAGTTGTGTGTGTTGAAGATCTATGAAGACGTCCTTATATACATATATATGTACATATGTGCTATATACGTGTATGAGTATATAACTGTAAAAGTTTTATAAATTTGTGTGTAAAAGCTTGTGTAAATTATAAATTTATCTTAATCATTCTTCTTCTACTAATAAATTTCAAAAAGATTTTTAATTCTAGAAATTATAATATTTTTTTATGTGGATTTCAAGTAATTTAGAATTAAATTAATTTCACTTTTTCAAAATTCGAGTGCCAGAAAAATGAACCACAATTAGTAATAATTCTCTACGGGCACGGATTGCCCTGAAAACGATGCGGTCATATCTTTTTCTCTCAGCAACGTATCAGCTAAGATCATCTGGACACTTTAGGCCTCTTTCTTTTGGACGCATGCAGAACAAATTTTGAAATGCACGAGCCTTTTAGATCTTTCCCTCGCTCTTCTGTATCAACATCTACTTACTGAGTGCTTTAAATAATTAAATAAATTCCCTCTCCTTTTCCTCAAGCAATTTTATAGCGGCTAATGAATTGAAAAAATCTGTAGCTGTTTAGTGTAAGAGGCAAGTGTAACCGCGACCTTCTGTGATCGATTGTGGGTTTAGGGCAGTCCGGACTGTTACTGGTTTTTGGTCACCGTTCTGTTTCATTTTTCGATCAGCCCTCAGACGCGCCCCTCGGTCGATTGGGCGGGAGGTGGGAAACGCTGGGTTCTTCGTTAAAAAAAAAAAAGATCGGCCAACGCAGAGCCCATATCAGCTGGCTGGATGAAACCACATGCTGACCTGGCCATTGATCGAACAGATGAATTACTAAGTCTCTACGCTTCATGAGCGTAATAATTTAAAACCAACGACTTCTGACAGTTTCCTATATGTGGATGTTCTGCTTTTTCACTTTCACACAGCCTACATAAAGCTTATCTTTTGCTATCAATTGTTTCCCATCATGGTGACAGCCTGGAAGTAATCCTTACATAATTTATAATCTACTTGTGATGGTTTTTAGTTTATTTTTTGAATTGGGCAGCAAAGGCTTGTATGACCATAT